TTTCTTTCTTCTGCTTTGTTTCTTACCTACCTTTCATTGTTTTCTAGTTTCCAAATATGTTTTATGATTTTTTGCTATGGTCATTCCACACAATTGTTGGATATTAACCCTAAGTGTTCTAGGTTTCATCTGTGAATTGCCCCTTTTCCTACTCCCAGTGAAGCTTATCATGTCCTTGCTAGCATTCCTAATTAAAGTTTATCTTTAACCTTCCCTTTGCATTTTACCTCTCATTGTCTCAGTTCCTCAAGTCAGTCTTGATGACTTTTTTGTTTGTTTGTTTGTTTGTGGTCACACCCATTGATGCTCAGGGGTTACTCATGGCTCTGCAATCAGGAATTACTCCTGGGCAGTGCTTGGGGGAACATATGGGATGCTGAGGGATCAAACACCCTACCTGCTATACTCTCGCTCCTGACCCAGTCCTGACTACTTATAAGCCAAAAGTTTCTGGTAATTCTGAACTTTGTATTTGTACTGCTTTTTATTTGAAGTGCTGTGTATTTGTACCTGCTTTTCTAGCTCCCCAATAGTCTTTTTATATTTTACTATAGAGTAACATTCTTTGATTAAACACAGAAAGACCATTTAATGCTATGCTCCTAATATTTGGGAGCTGATTGAATCTGAAATATAACTTCTCCTGGGCATAATTACTTGACTCAGGCTTCAGTTGCTGTAGTTCCTAACACCCCAAAAGAGAAGTCCTGCTGTAGGACTTGGATGGACCCGGGGAGAGTGGCAAAGCTACCCCAGCATTGAAATGGGACATTCTAGAAAGCATCACTGCATGCTCTTGATGCAAGCTGTTATAACTTAAAAGACAGGACCGCATGGGGAAGGACAAGCTGAACTGTCCTGAAGACTTAGTATGGGATTTACAGTAAAAGCCTTCCTTGTGCTCAGCTCAGAGAACTATGTGTTGGGATCTTTGTCTTTTACTGTGTTTACCCAAACAACTACAAGTATTGATAACTTATACAATTAGAGGGAAAGATAAAAACAATGTAGATGTCCCCAGGAGACAGAGTGTCTCCTTGAGTTAATCTCCCCAAGAGAATTTCCTCCACCAAATGTTTATCTGTGTAAATGATCGATCACACCTATGTCCTTACCTCAATTCCCCTTCAAATGTTCTATAAGTATGCTAGCTCTGCATTAAACGGGTCATTTTCACCATCGGGCTGTGGTCCCCCTTCTCCCTGTCTCTCTGTCTCTTTGTTGGGGAGGCCAGGGGAGGTGGGAAGGTGGCTCTGGGCCGCAGAAGGACACACACATTGCAGGAACAGCCCCTACATTTTACATTGTAAACTCATGCACAATAACTGTTACTTGGAGTTTATACTCCTATATGTTTCCATTCTAAGACTGGAATTTTAGTGGTATTTTGGCAATTATGTGTAGAATCCTATGTGTCTGTCTACTGTGTTTACTCAAAGTCCAGTGAAATATTTATATTGCCAAGTACTTACATGCAATCTCCTTTACAGTAGATAGCATTATTCCCATTGCATGATGAGATAGCTATTGGTCTAGGAATAATGATAATCTAGTTTTCTTACAGAGCCAAGATAAGACATTTGAATTTTTAAAAAATCATAGTTTTCCCATATAAATGGGACATAAAGTCATTTGGTGATTTTTTTTTGTGATGAAGGTCACCAGTAATAGGACAAGTCAGACCATAGCAACTCCATGCCTAGGTACAATAGACTAACGTCATTGCTGTGATGTGAATGTTTCTTTGAACTAGGCTCTGCACCTTAGAATATATGGTTTCCTCTTCAGTCAGTTTTTCTTATTCCACAGTAGAAATTGGAACACTATCACCAAATAATTGCTTGTGGTCTGACTCATAGAAAACAGTGGAGTATATTAGAACAGACAAGGGAAACAGAAATTATGGTGTTCAGGCACAAGGGAAATACATCTTAATATATAATGATGCTATTTCAGAGTCTAGCACACAATGAAATAACTTTCCTCTTTGAAGTTTTGCTTACATTCCCACATAGGGCACAAATACGTACTCTAATTTGAAAAGGAAAAATAAGTGATTGCTTTCAAATTCAGTCTTTTGAAGGCATTGCAATCTTTCAGCTAAGTGGTAATTCTCAAAAAAAAAGAAAAGAAACTTTCTAACTAGTATTTGTGAGCTAACACACATACCCAATAATTTATGTTTTATTTATATGTCACATTGACTTTCTGTGGTTATAACAACAAACACTCTGTATTGAGTGATGTTTTCCTGAAGGAGATTTTCAGGTAATACCTCTCAAAAGGCTTATAAGTCTTTATTTGCCCAATCAAGAATTTTACCATTGCCTTTCCAAACTAAATGCCACATTGTTTTCCTTTCTTATATCATTTCATTTAATTATACCCATTCTGTGCTTTAGGCTTAAAATATAAAAAATTAAATAATACATATTGATTATCAAGTCTTCTTTAAGTGCTGTTTCTTTACCATCTATAAATCAATGTCAATGAATTATCTAAAATAAGCCAATGCTGTTTCAGTGCATTTATAGTGTATTTCATACATAATCTTAGAAGGGACTATGAAGGAATTTGCTCATTATTTTATTTAAAACATACTTATTGAGGATTGTGCTCAGAAATGGAATTAAGTGGCAAATTAACTGACACTGTCTTCAGTTGCATTGAGTTCACAGTCTAGAAGGAAAGGTAAACACGAGCTACCAAATTAAAAATAATTGTGTTGACTGTTATAAAGATAACAACCAGAATGTTATCAGAAAGAATAATAAAAAATAATAATAATTTAGACAAGGCAAAGGGAATGTTCCAAGAAAGACATGACAAGACATCCAAAATATGATGAGTTGTTAGCCAAGAGAAGAGTAAAGTAAAGTAAAGGCCCTCCCGTTGATCATCGATTTGCTCGAGCGGGACCAGTAATGTCTCCATCATGAGACTTGTTGTTACTGTGTTTGGCATACCGAATACGTCACGGGGAGCTTGCCAGGCTCTGCCGTGCAGGAGAGATACTCTCAGTAGCTTGCCGGGCTCTCCGAGAGGGGCGGAGGAAACGAACTCGGGTCGGCCATGTTGGCTGCGTGCAAGGCAAATGCCCTACCGCTGTGCATAGAACAATATTACAGGCATCTAGGACAGCAAGCATAAATAATTAAAAAAAAAAGAGTTTGTGTTCGAAGAATTGAAAGAAGGCTATGTGGTTAGAGCACAGTAAGTAAGGGGTTGATCAGAGATAAAGGTAGAAATGGTTCTTACTAATTTTTTTTTAATTTCACCATGGTGAGCATGATAGAGAACATAAGACCGGGAAAAGTCTACTGAAATATTTTCAAGCAAGAGAGGAAAGAAATTAAAATTATTTTAAAAGATTTACTTTGTTACAACCTACTTGTTGAAGGAAGACAAAACAGATCAACAGAGTTCAACTAGAAATTAGTCCAAACAAGGGATAATGGCAAGATTAAATGTAAAAATAATGGAGGAGAAAAAAGTGTATTTCATATATACAATCTTAGAATACCCTCATTTTTGATCCATAGTCAATTGTGATGTAAAGTGGGACCCCCGAAATCTTGTGTTTTGTAGCATTATGGCATATAAATTTTCGTTTCCTTGAAGTATAAGGAGTCCCATTACCTTTCCAATGGTATATATGGGGCATTCAATATGATCCTCATTTCCTACCCAGGATGTACACACACATCCTTTTATTGACATGGTTGTCTCTCCTGAATAAGCTAACAGAACCACTAATGACCCACATCTTTCACCTCTACATGCTCCCGAGCATGAGTGTGGCCACAGTTCTATGTACAAAAGTCTCCAGGGAGCATAGGCCAAGATATTAAAATGATATTTTTGAAGCCATTCTGAATAAGACTGAGAAGAGAAGAAAAAAGTCCCCATCCTCTTATTATATATATTAGAGAAGTAGAGATGAAGCTATCAATGAACCAACAGTACAAAAAAAACCCCTCTAATTTCTCCTATTTTTCTCCCTATTTTTAAATATGCTTGATCATCTTGTGCTATAAAATCCATATTGATATCTCATCTTTTAGACCTGCTTGGAAGTCTAGCACCATTCTTTTGTATGTCAGAGTTTGGATATACCTGGGATAAAAGTAGGAGAAACTCTCCCCATTTTAATATACTTCCTTATTCCCATACACCTTTTACGTAAAATGGTGAATCTTCTAAAATTTTCAAACGCTGCCCTCTTATGTGCCTTCCCAGTGCTGCTACTTGTTGAGTGATGCAATTGCCAAGATGCTTCTCTGCCTCTCCTCTTCCCTCTTTGTGCTCACCCCCTTATGATGATTCCCCAACTTGAAACTAAATGACTCCCTAAATAGTAGTTTCCTTGCTGCCTATATCCCCTTTCTCTTTCCCCAGGGTACCCGATATTTGATCCAGTCCCCTTCACCCAGACTCCCATTAGAGAGTCCATCTGCCACGTTTGCACACAGACAGTGGTGTTCCTCCCCATATCATTCTCCTGAGAATTTGTGCAACTGCTCAGACTCTGTGACTCTAGAGTTCAGATAAAACTGGGAGATTTTTAGGACTTGTACTCCTCAACAAAACTTGTGGAAAATCCGAAACAATTCACTTGTTCGAAGAGAGAAAAAAAAAAGTAGGACTCACTAACTTGAACTAAGAAAACAATAAAAGTGGAATAATGGAAGAAGTCAAGATCTAGAGTAATGAATATTTTTAAAAAAGTGTGTGTATGATAGACACATAAATTTGGGATGGGGGGGCGGTAAAGAGACCACACGGAGGAGATGGAAACCATGGCTGATGCCTTAAATAGGCAATGTGGAATAAGATGAGTGTACCATAATATTTTGCTCATTGTGAAAGCATCATGTGGATATACAAGAAAGAAAGGAATAACCTAAATTTTGGAACTAACCATTATTTTGATGATTTTATGTCAGTTAACAGGAAAAGGTAGGTTGTATGCTAACCGAAGCTCACCATATGTCTGACAGGAACAAATGCTAAGCATGGATTGCGCTGCAAAGCTTGTAAGATGAGCATCCACCACAAATGCATGGATGGCCTGGCACCCCAGCGGTGCATGGGCAAGCTGGTAAGGATTGGTGCCATCTGTATTCTCCAAACTCCCTGCACCCTGGGAACTGAACTCTTAGAAGTAGCTCCAGAATCCCCAACCTGCAATTTGAATTCTGAGTTATCATAATAATCGAGCCGAGGAGGGATTTTGTCAGCCTTACATGATAAAAACTTCAACAGTGAAAAGGATTCAGTATCCTTTTCAACAAAGGTGACCAACTTGTTCTCAGGTGGACTTTCTCAATAATTGTACTGGAAATCTCAATTGCTAGGACTAACCACGCATTAAAAGTTAAGGTTAAAATCCCCTGAACCTCTGCTACCACAAGCAGACTAGGGTTCTTGGTCATTCTTATGCTTAATTGATTGACAGTTTATTGGGTGTCAAGAATTCAAGAATAAAATAAAGATTAGCAATCTCCCAAAGTGGGCAGAGTAATGAAACTCTACACTACCACAGCACATTGTTAGCCAAGCCAAGTAGATGGCTTTAGCCCTTTTTGGTTAATGATACCATCTCAAGAGCGTGAGTTTTATAACAGATGCTCTGCATTAATAAAAATGCAACCAAGAATACTTTAGAGGATGTCTGAAACTACCATGACCAAAGAATTGTAGAAGGTGCTCAAAATGTCTACCCTATATTACTTATGTTACTTAGAATATGATTGCTGTCTTAAAAGAACTGCAAGACCTGTCAGAGAGAAAATGATTTTTTTTAATTTCTTTTGAAAAGAAAGGATCCACAGGTACCAACTCTGAAAATTCAGAGACCCACAAAGACCCACTTCCATAGTTAGTGAGAACTCCTCTTTCCCATCCACTCATTCTACAAACAATGTCCAAAGATGGATTATATGCCAGGAACATTGGAGAGAATTCTGCCTAGCAGGGACTGAGTCACAACAATTCCATCTAACCCTGGAAAATTAAGTAGAAATTAAGTGGAGAACTTAGAAAGATCAGATTCTTATCATGATAAACATTGTCTTCTTCTCTAAAACCCATGAATCACCTCTTTTTCTCCTCTGGTGGTAAAACCCAAAACCAAGGCAAAGACCATGAGCGAGAGGTCAGCAATCAGTGCAGAACTAGAACATAAAACACATGGCCCTAGGCAGAGTTCATCTGATATACAAGGAACTAGGTCTGATTCTGAGGCCTTTCACATCCCAGTCCTTCATGATTTTTTTTTTCATTTGTGGCTTTAATAGGCCACAATAATAAAATTTGGTAAAATGATGCAAACCAGTTCCTTGTATCTTGTGATTTAATGAGGAACCCGGACATAAAGGGAATGTTGTGGTATGGTCTACAGGAGGAAAACAAGCAGGACAGTGAAAGACAGGACTCCAGGGATCAACTACAGGGCAAATCCATGCCTTGTAGGGTAACATGAAGAAGCCTCTTAAGAAAACCAGTTGACTTCATTTTCAGTGTCCCTGGGTTGTTTCCTCCAGCTCATCAGTTCTTTTCCTTCTCATTTCCTTTCCAGCCAAAAGGGTTTCGACGTTACTACAGCTCCCCCTTGCTCATTAATGAACAGTTTGGATGCATTAAAGAAGTGATGCCCATTGGTGAGTTGGGAGATTGATACTTGAGCTGGATTTTTAACACACTGTTGCCATGAAAAGTAACTGTTCTCCCAGGACTACAAGACCAGTGGAGTGTGTTTGATGCTTCTTCTGGTGGTTGATGCAGTTATGATAGTTGGTTTGTTTTGCTGGAGGGAAACATGAGGTAAAGCAAATTCTCCAGGAATTTTTATCCTCGCCTCGATAAAACTTGAAAAACACCCAAGACCCAGAAGCTGCTGATATTTCTACCACCCATCAAGCAGCTTTGTGAAGTGAAAAGAGCATGGCGTGTGGCATCCCACACATCTGGATCCAAGCCCAGCATTCCCATTGACCAACTGCGTCTCTGAACAAGTTTCTTGACCAGTAGGATCCTATAAAATAAGAACAGATGAGCAGCTTTTCCTATTTTGTTGTAAAAAAAAAATCAATATGAATTATAAATCACTGCTTGGAAGGAACCCAGGGAATATCAGTTATTCCATAATGAGAACAAAAAAAAACCTTATGTTTAAAGATATTTCTGGCTTACTTTTGTTCAACTATAGCTTTCAATAGGCCTCTCTCTCTCTCTATCTCTCTCTCTCTCTCTCACGCGCATGCTCTCTCATTCTCTCTTGCTCAAAGTCTATGTCTATTTTTGTCTGGAGGAGGGAGGGAAAGGTTTAAAATGAGCCATTTATCAACTAGAAAGCTTTTAATTAGAAATCCATGAAGCCTGGAAATATCATGCTTTCAAAAATACTTCCCTCTGACTGCGAGCTTGGGTCTCAAAGTCTGGAACTCTGGTGATCAGAGTGTCGCACTTTAAGAGCTAAAGGGACTCTCTCAGAAGAAGGTTGACCTCAAAGTCTAGGGTGAAACATATAACAAAGGAAGAAAGGCCATTGGTCAGGAATCACTGGGAGCTAAGAGATCCGAGTACCATACCCTGACTCATAGGGACTTATTACAGGAGCCACATCTGGGAATGCAACTTAACCGCAAAGAGAGCTCCATTTTCACTGGGAGCTTAGGGCCAGCAGCTTCTCAGTTGCTGTTCACCAGGACATAGGGTGGAGATTATTGGCTGTGTGTCTGAAAGTGCTTGAGAAATCTTCACTCTCAGCCTTTCTCTTCTGTTGCAGCCTGTGGCAACAAAGTGGACCCTGTGTATGAGACCCTTCGCTTCGGAACCTCCCTGGCCCAAAGGACAAAGAAGGGAAGCTCTGGAAGTGGCTCCGACTCACCTCACAGAACCTCTGTAATTGTCCTCATCATCTCACTTCACCTTGGTGGGGTGGGTGGTAAAGAGACGCAGGACAGGCCCAGGAACTGCAGTGTGAAATGTTTCACCCTAATATCTCTTGAGGGCCATTTTAATAGGGGGTAGGCAATCTCCAACAAGAAACCCAGTGTGCCTTGGATAACTAGGGAGGTTAATTTTCTCTTGCCAGAACATAGGTATTAATTTATTTTCCTCCATCCAAGACCAGGTGCTTCCTCTTCCCCAGTGTCCCATCCCTGTGAATATTAGAAAATAGATCTGAAACACATGGTAAGTGCTTTGGTCACAGGAGGAATATTGTCAGAGGAAGATCATGACAGCTGGGTCCAGCTCTCTTTCCTGCTCCACCCCAGTTTAAGGAGAGCTCATTGTCCTATTTGCACCGTATTTTCTAAGACAAGGTTCACCTTTAGATAAGATTTGCCCTCCTCAGTGGCTCTTGACTTGGAATCCATAGGAGATTCTGTGGACACTCAACTTCTGGAATGCCTTTTCAACATTTTACATGGTTTAAAGTAACTGTACTGGCATCTGTGTGACCTATTGTTATCTTATCTCTCCCTGTACCAACCACAATTTCTATGAATGTCTCCATACTCTGTAGCTCATGCAGAATGCCACTATTTCTCTTCCAAAAAGACCTTCCTGTTTATGTTCTCAGTGTGGCCAGCTAGTAGTCTGTAACCCATTCTATTGCCACAACCTTTGCTAGGCTTGAAAGTTATGGGCCACACAGAGATGAGGCTCCCAATAGTATGCCATACTAAGTCCTCTTGACATCAGCTTTAATATGGCAGGTACAGGGAAGAGGAGTGCAACACAGCCCCTGAATGAATGGGCTCAAAGGAGCTGGGTTGAAGCAGCACTCCCTGTATGCAGGTTGATTCCAAGAGTAGCTGAGATTGTAGTGTGTGGCAGAGTTAACAGGTCATGTGGCTAAGTAAGCGATCCTCCAACAGAGGTCATGTGGTTATTCTAGAGCTACATTTTGTTGTTTGTTTGGGCTTGTAGGAGCACACCCAAGAGTGCTCCAAGGGTTCCTCCAGCAGTGCTCAAGAGACCATGCATCGCCAGGGATTGGACCAAGAATTCCAGCCTGCAGAACATATCCTCAACCCTTCAAGTTATCTCCCCCCAACCAACTGTTTTCTTTAAACATATTAAAATTCCTTTTTTCTGTGTGTCTTACTAATTTCTAGAGGCAAGAGCCAAAAATAGCATTTACTCTTTTTCCTTGCAGTACTGAGAACTAATGTTCATTAGTTGTTGTTGTTGTTGTTGTTGTTTTATTTAATAACCAAAGAGAAATTTAGTGCCATAACTTTACTAGTTCTCTAGAAGACACAAAAGAAAAATTCTGAAAGATAGTATAACAGTTAGGATACATACCTAGCAGGGGTTCAACTCCCAGTACCACTTGGTCTCCAAGCTTTGTCAGGTATATGCCTCGATGCCCCCATTACCCTTGAGGTGGCCCAGGTAATCCTGGCACTATAGAGATGGGGCAACATCACATCCTTTGGGCTCTTGCATAAAACAAGTAGCATGATTGGTTGAGAATCATAGATAGGCCTCCTGGGACTTCTGAAGACCACTACACACACACACACACACACACACGAAAGAAGTTGGAGATACTTTCTTTTCCTTATTATTCACAACTTACTCCTGAAGACCAAGCCAAGAGCAAAATAAGTGGATAAAGGTGCCATAGTTTGCCTTTTTAAAAAATACACTTTGTATGTCTTTTACTTTTATTAAGAATAAGAACATATCATAAGTGTGTTAAAGCTTCTATAATAACTGTGTCATCTGAGTGCTGAAGGATTTCACAGAAAGATTGAAAACTATAGTAAGCATTGCCTCAAAGCACTGAGGGGATAATTTGTCACATTTGATATCTTATCCTGATAATCTCCCCCGAAAGGCACTAAATCAAATTGACAGTTCCATTGATGATGATAATTCACTTCTGAAAGAAAACTAGAAATGGTATTAAGTGTGATGAAAACACAAGTGCTCGTGGATAAGGTTTATAGTATATACAGATAAGTTGTCAAAAAAACTTGGTGTTTGGATTAGATGATAACTGCTTGGGCTAGATAATAATAGTACCATCAGAAAATGAAAGTTCCTGCTCTTTCAATTTTAGTAAACGTCTAGACCTTCATTAGACTTCAGTTCTTGCAAAGTTAAGACAAAGATGTTACCCACTAGAAGGTCAAATTTCCAAAAGCCTGTATTCTTGTTTCATAGGAAACCCACAACTCATTCAAGGCCTCCATTATGCTAAGCTCATTCTGTCTCCCCAGACCTGACTTCCAAGTCACTTGTGGTTTTTTTTTCTTTTTTGGGGAGAGGAGTGGGAGGAGAGGAGGCATGTCACACCTGGCAGTGCTCAGGAGTTACTTCTGGCTCTATACTCAAAGATCACTCCTAGTGAGCCTCAAGGAACTATATCAAAATGCTGGGCATCAAACCCAGGTGAGATGCATTTAGGCAAGCACCTTGCATGCTATATTATCTCTCTGGTCCCCAAGTCTCTTCCTAAATAGGTTTTATTTTTTTTGATTCTCATCTTTCTCTCTTCTCTATCTACCGTCTCTACCCTAACAGATTCATTAGATCTTTCAACTTTATAAACTGTGTGCCCAAGTTCCAGAGCATTCCTTGGAATCTCAAAATTTTCAGATCCCAACTGAGCTGATGCTTTGTTAGTTATTAAATTTTATAATTCAGAACTCAAAATGTGTCAGGAAATTACCCTTGCTCTCTATTACTAATGCCGGAGATTTCAACATCATCATCTCTGACCCGGAATATTATGAAAGAATAACTGTGCTTCCCCTTTGCTTTTAAGTCTGTTCACTAATACTGTATGGATCTTTTAAAGAGAGGCTGTGTCCAATACTCCCAATTAAAAGATTCTGTTAATAGACCCAAACCTTTGGCACAGTGCTACTCAAAGGACTCACCTTTTAGCACTCATCAAGTTCTTTAACAACTTTCCTATTGTATAACATACTACTCAGTTTAAATGTTTTAAAGACACAGATTAAGTGTTTTTTTTAACAAACTATGTCAAGTTCTTGGATCCTCCCAAACATGATGAAAAGCTCTCTTACACACCTTCAAAAGTTCTTTTATGACAGTTTATATAAATGGTTGCATTGAAATTATCAGCTTTGACATCTTTTTCCTGAGCTAAATACTGAAAAACAGAATCTCAGGGCCATGTCTCTCATACTCACTGCAGAAGGACCTGCCACAAAATGCTTGAATAATAATAAAGAATTTTTAGCAATAGTTTCTTGAAGACTTACCTCAAAACCCTCAGGGATCTCCACAATGATTTATTGTTCACACCTCAGTTCCAGGCAATCTGCTGCTTTCTAAATTGCATGCTCTCTCTATCACTGGTCTACCCTCTCTTATCTTGGCCTCTTTCTGGTCTGATCTTGGATGTCCCTTCATTGGGGAAGCCAGTTCATTAAATGGATTCTTATATTGCTTAGTAATTTTCACTTTTCGTTTTATTTTTTTTCTTTTTTTAGTTCATTCCCTGACAAGATTAAGCTGCTATGTGCATAGCCTCTTTGCTCCCTGGTTTGTATGCCCCTTACTTTACACCAAGAATAAGTACATATTGGTGGCTGTCAGTGTCCTCTGCAATTTTATGAAAGTATAAAGCAACTTCAACAGCCTGGACCTATGAGTTCTCTGTGTGATTCTGATACCCACCAAAAATCTGAGAACCACTGATCTGCATAAATAAATAGTCCTTTTGCATCATATATTTCCATTAAGTATGCATATATATGAATGAATAAGTAGACATTACAGTCAAATTCCATAATTTCTAACAACCTAAAGCCTACCATAAGTTAAATCATTAGTTCCTCGTGTGTGGATTCTAAATCAATAGCTATAGCCTAACTTGGAAGCCCATTGGAAAGTCAGATTGGGGTTATGAAGTCAAATCTGCAGAATCAGAAACTCTGGGGATGAAACCCAACAATGTTTTCGTAAGCCCTCCAGATGATACCAATGCAAATTAGAATGTGAGACTCACTGTGCTAAATAAAGGATTTGGGGTTTTTTTTTCCCCTGAGAACCCAATCTTTCTAAGCAAACCTCTCCTTTCTTTTTCATACATTCTTATTTGCTCATAATTATCTTGTTCCCTCTCTGAATGAATAGCTCCTGAATCATACATTCACAATGATCCCTCAAGTGGATCTAAATCTGGGGATAAAGATTTAAGAAAGCTTACCATATCCCTGCCCTACAAAACAAGTCACATCTCCTTCCTCGGGACAGGGGCGGGGGGGGGGGTCATTGCTACATTCAAGTTGCTTCCCACAAGGTCACAAAAAGCTGCATCTCAGCCTACAGCCACACTGCCCTTTATAAGTCAGGACATTTATAAAACATGCAGCAATCTAGAAGAGACATGCAAGTAGAACACAGAGCTCCCCACTTTTGTTGACCTCCATGCTGAATGGTCAACATCTCTGGTGAGAGTAACATAGACTCATCTCAGCCATAGCCAAGTCTGTATCTTCACTGCTTGTGGGAGGCTTATACGGGAGGGAAAGCAAATAGAAGTCAGTCCAGAGAGTCAAGGGCAGAGAGGAGGCTTTACAGAGGTGGCCCTGCCCTGCCTGACTCAGCAGCATATGGCTGTCCCTGCAATCTGGGCTCCACTGAATTCATGACAAGGAGGCATGCTCAATGACACAGCACAGCAGGCAATGCACATTTCCCCCTTCACAGTGTTTGACTGATGTAAAGGAGCAGTAAAAGCACCAGAGAGACCATTGAAGGATATTCTGTTTTCTTTCATGTCTGAAATAACTTTGTCTCCGGCTAAGGCTGGACCCTCCAGGCTGACTTCTTGGGGCAAAAAGCATTCATTTTCTGAATATCAGTAAGGTATGCATTCTTCGCAGCCCATTAATACTTCCTCTACTGGTTCCATAAACACCTCTTGGAATTTTCCCCTCTGAAGACATTTTCTGAGACTACAGCAAGACAAAGACAAGTCAAATTGAACTTAAAGAGCTGTCACTTCACTCATTCCCCAGAGTCCAACTTGCTGCTGTGGAAGAAAATAGAAACAATTGATTGGTATTTTTTAAATGATTTTTCTTCCTCCCTGCAGGTCAAATAATAATGAACTTCAGCCTCTTGCCATTCTTACTTCCTAAAGTGAGCGCATCCCCACGTGGCAAAGCTTGGTCCCACAGGTTTATTTTCTTCCAGGGCTGTCAGATGCTTTTGCTTTGTATTGTCAAGAAGTCACTATCTGGCTGTTTCTAAATCATTATACTTCCTTTAATGTACTTTCAAATGTCTTAGAATGAAAAAAAAAAGACTGGATGGCTTTGGGGAATGTCAGCCAAAACCAAATTCGAAACACTTTCTGTGTGTTGGTTGGCTAGTTTATGAATAATCTTCAAGTTCATGAACTTAAATTAACATACTAAAAGAAACTATTGTTCAAAAAGTGAGCTTTAAAGAATCAGGGTATAAGTGACTTTGAGACCCTATGGCATTTCCCCCCTTTTTTCTGATGTAGCATGAAAGTAAAGAAAACTGAAAATAATCTCAAAGCTGAATTGCTATATAACAAAAATCAGACTCTGGAGGGTGATGCTAAAGTACTCTGGAGCTGACTAGAGAGTCAGGAAGGTAAATGTGTTTCTTTATGATTAGATTTAAATATATTGTCCCCCAAAATATGACTTTCCCCCACAGGGCCCCTAAATTCCTCTTTGAAGAGGCTGCAGCTATTTCCCTGCCCTTTGAAATCAGTGATGTGAGGATAAATGTTTCACTCCCAGGTGATGTGGGACGCTGCTTGGTAGCATAGCCTTTTCCCAAAGTGTAAATATTTCCACTGTCCCAATTTCAAACTGCCAGTGTGAGGACCCCGAGACAATAACTTCTACAAACCTTCTAATGATCCACTGGATCAAGTACCATGCTTAAGAGCGTGAGCTCTGGAGAGAGAATGTGCGGGGTTTGATTCTCAGCTCTACAACAAACTATCGAAACAAGCTATCAAACCATGAGTATAATTGATGACTCTCTCTCTGAGCTTTAGAATCTTACCCCCAAAATTCACCTATTGTGGAATTATTGTGAAAGAATGAGTGAGATGATAGCTCAAACATATTTAGCTAGAACAATCAGTAACACTGGCTTTTTAGAATAATTGTTATTATTGCTACTGTTATTTGTGTAATCTAACTGGAAGAATAATTTATTTGAAAAGGTAACTATAAATGGCACAAAACAATCCATTTTTGCAGCAGTAGTAACAGTATTAAAATCCTGTGTAGGTATTGCATTTTTAAATAGTGCATCCTGTTCTGTGTAATATTTAGAACTCACTTATAAAAGAGCTGTACTTCTACTGAAAGTGATAGCACATGAGCAGGTATTCTGATTGTTATCTTCCTGAGAAAAAACCTGACTGTGCCCTCAGCCTCTTGTATTTATTCGACATTCACTGAACAACTCTCATATTCCAACTCCCAAACTGGCCAGACACCTGAAGAAAGGTGTATGAAGTGACCATGAAGTCACAGATTGTGAGATTTGCCAAACAGAACAGACAGAAATGATTAGATTCCTAAGACAGAGCCATGAAAATGACACCTTTATTCTTTACTTGCATGAGAATTTCCTAATGGGCCTGTTGAAATCACATTGCTCATACCACCCATTTTCTCTTTTCTCCAAGACTTCAGATCTCGTGGAGGTTCCTGAAGAAGTTGATGGGCCAGATGGGTATGACCTACGGAAACGCAGTAACAGTGGTGAGTAAGGGAGTGGGAACTGGACATTGCCCAGCACAAAAATATTATATTGGTCATTAGTCAGGTCAGTGGGTACAGAAATGAATTTCTGGCCCCTTGTCTCTATTGGTGCTGAAATTCAATCTGAGTAAGTGTTCAACCTTGTGGAGGAAAATGAGGCATGATGACTGTTAGATGAGTAATTTGATTGCTGTATTACCAGAATTCTGCCAATTTCTCACCTTATGAATTTATTTATATTGTGATTTGTTAGGAGTCACTTCCAGACCCTTCTCCAACTGTGTTGTTCCCCCACTGACCTACATTAGTCTAGCTAAACATACTGCAGAAAAGCCTCTATGACGCCTGAGTATACCAGAGGCCAGCGGGTGATGATGACAATGACAGGAATATGGGCCTTGTCCTTAGCTCCTTCTACAGCAGAGAGAACTAAGTCTCCAAAACTAGTGTAATACAACCTAACCAAACACTCTGATATTGTTTGTTCCTTATTAAAGTGATTTTTAAAAGGATCATCAAATGTTAACTTCTTATTATTGCTTGGTAACTTTAAGGAGGAAAAAAACACTCTCAAGACCCAGGAGATAGTACAGGATTAGGACTCATGACTTGAAATGCACGTGACCCTGGTGTGATCTCCCAGGTACGACCAGGTATAGCCCCAAGGCTACTACCAAGTATACCTCTGGAGGCCCTCGGCAGCACTGGACCAGAACTGCATCACATTCTTGGACCCTCACATTGAACTTGCCCCAGCTGGACAAGAATCACAAGGAGTGGTCCAGGACTTCCTGAGCAGTGCTTGGGAACCCCCACTCATCCCCAAGAAACTTCTTAAACTATACCTTAAAGAAACATGACTAGCCCTGATAAATGCATCTTGCCAAGCCTCTTTGACAGCAGTCAATATTTAATCAATACTATGTTCTCAAAAAAATTTTTTTCCTTTTTGGTCACACTCAGAGGTGCTCAGAGATTACTCCTGGCTCTGCACTCAGGAATTACTCATGGTGGTGCTCAGTGGACCATATGGGATGCCCTGGATTGAACCCAGGTCGGCCATGTGCAAGCCAAAGGCCAACCGGCTGTACTGTACTATCATTCCAGCCCTAAGAAAGTCTTTGTGAAGCATTTACTCACCCACAAATGTATGTAAGTCACATCCTCAGGTTCATAATCTAGCAAGATTTCTTGTGCTCAGGTGATCATGTATTCCCAGGGCGGAAGTTTTCCCTGCAGATGCTGTGCCAAAGCACACAGAGGCTCAGCCTTCGACTGATTTTCTACCTGACTTCTGAAACCTGCTTTCTCCAGATGAGGAGCCTGGATGCTGCCCTCAGTCAGTAGCTTCCACAGCCTCATCAGCAGCTAACTCACTTGCTCCCTAAGCTCTAGCAACTCATGTCTGGCTCATCTCTAGTTAGGACTGTGCCTCTGTGATTCCCACAAGGCAGCACGTGCTTAGCTTCCCCAGTGAGTCTCCTAAATAAGCCTCTGAGTTCCCAGTACTCAAACTCCCTGGCCAAGCCTGTGGACATCTGCTTTAGTGTGTTGCCAGAAAAAGGAGTCTGGCATCATAGGGGGTGAGCTGCACTTTTAGATCAATGCGAACAGCCGCTTCATACTAGCATTGCCCTAAGAGAGAAAGTAGAGAATCAGATGATGGGGAAAGCTCACAGTGGAGTAGTAGGAGACAGGAGCAGCCAAGATCCAGTTTGCCCACCATGGCAGGTCCAGCAACTAAAGTGGTGCCAACCCCAGAGTTCTTCCGCCTCTGAAGAACATATTTTCCAGAGACTAGTCTACAAACCAGACCTGCTTTTAACTGGTCAGCAGCTCCATCCTCTCAGGCTGACTTTGCCTGCCACTGGTGACTTTATCACTCACTGAGCCAGTCTTCTTTGCTCCATGACCCCCTTCTGCTCTGAGGGCAGACAGCTATATTTCATTCAGCTGGAACTGGTGATCTCTCCATTCAGTTGCTGAGATAAAGACAGTCAGAACACCAGATCCAGGGACTAGCCAGTTGGTACCAAAAAGGTAAGGTGCCCACCTTGCACATGACCAACCTGGATTCAACCCCTGACACCTCATATGGTCCCCCAAGCGCCACCAGGCTCTGAACACAGAGCCAATGGGTAAGATCTGAGCACAGCTTCTGTTTGTAGCCCAGAAACAAAAACCAAACAAACAAACAAGAAAGCCACCCAATTCACAGAGTGCGGGGATTTTTCAATGGGATAATAAATGGATTGTCCCCACAGTGGTGACTCCGAATCATCATTTCCAGTATTAGACATCTATGCCGAACTAACACCTAAAAGCCAGTGGTTTGCAGTCACTGTTCTATTCATGAGTGGTTTTCAGAAGCTCTCTGTGGGTTTGCGAAAAGTTATTTCTGCTAACTACATGGTACGCCTGGATCTCATAGCCAGTACTGTTATAAATATTGATATAGAAATGTTCTTATTATAAATTCTGGGTTTTATATCTACATTAGCAGTCCATGAACTATTTCTCCTGTTTTTACCAGTCTGTGGGTGTAAAAGCATTGAAAACCACTGTTCTAACCTACTGGTCACAGCCATCTGAATGTAGCAGAGCCACCTTAAAGTTAATACAGTCTTTGCCCTTCATTCCCCCACTGCCCAAAGCAGCTCATCATGCCAACCATCCCCACACAGGAAATAGAAATACCATCCTCCTCAGGGACCAGGTCAAGACATTAGGCATTGGCTTGCCTCTTTTCTTACATCTCTTATCAAATGTATCATTATAGCACTGTCCTACCATTGTTCATCAATTTGCTTGAGCGGGCACCAGTAATGTCCGCATTGTGAGACTTGTTGTTACTGTTTTTGGCATATCGAATACACCACGGGTAGCTTACCAGGCTTTGCAAGATAAAGACACATTTGGCGGGCGAGATACTCTCAGTAGCTTGCTGGGCTCTTCGAGAGGGGTGGAGGAATCAACCCTGGGTCAGCTGCATGCAAGGCAAACACTCTACCCGCTATGCTATCGCTCCAACCCTTATCAAATATATCTAATGTATCTAAGGATTTTCTCTACTGCTCTTCTATATCAGCAGCTAAGACTGGACTCTCTGCTCCAACTGCTCTGGCATCTTTATTGTTCCTGCTGCTGAATGTAGCCCAGTTAGTAGCTAAGGACCCTATTTGAGATTTATTTAACAAAAAGTGTTCCTTCGTAGAATTCTATAATGTGAAGAACTTATGCTTAAAAATCTGATAAATTGGACTAGAGAGAGTACAATAAGTAGGGCACTTTCCTTGTATGAAGCTAACCCAGGTTTAATCCACAACACCCCATATGGTGTGCCCGGCCAGGAGTGATCCCTGAGCATAGAGCCAGAAGTTAGCCCTGAGGACAGCCAGATGTGACCCAAAAACCAAAAAAATAAAAACAAAAAAGGAAATAAATCTAATATATTAATGCCATATTACACAGCTCTATGAAGTGTGGCTGCTGTTAGTAAAGTCATTACAAGTTTACAAAGTTTCTGAGGTACAGTGGAAAGCTTCCTAGTCCAGGTGTGTCCATGGACCAACACTCCAGCCTCAGTCCACTAGAAATGCAGAATCCAGAGTCTGTCCCATATCTACAGACACAGAACTTGTTTATGAATCTATGCTTTAAAGTTTCAGCAATAGGAGTAAAGTTTATTTAGTATGAAGCTATTTCTTGCAGCTCACACATATACACACAAACACATTATGTAGATAAGGAAAGCAAGGCATGCATAATACACTCAGAGACACAAAGTTGATTATTTGCCCTCTCTTTTATCTTAAGGGCCATTTCACAGACTTATTGAAAAAATGCTGTTGAAAGAACTTAGCAAGCAATATACCTCCAAAAAGCTTTGGAGATCTATTAACTATTCCTTTGATCAGCAATGGCTTTCTTTACAACACACCCTTAGAAGCTCGGGGGATTAATTATGCAGCAGTTTGCTTCACAAAATTTTCCTTTGATTGGACTTAATCCCCTGTGTATGCGGTTTGAGATACCACACAAAGAAAGGCCACTTCAGAGCTCCATGTCCAACCCACTTAGGCAAGACCAAGATGGGGCTGGCTTTTCAGCAGGACTGCAGCAGCTTCCACTCACTGCCAGTTCTGTGTTACATATTTTATTTATGTTCTGGAAAAATATCACAGTGTATGTAGGCATTATTTCTGCCAACCAGGGGTGATGTCAAATTCTTGGAGGAATATTTCCAAAGCCACTGTAGAAGAGGGTACAAGTCATACTATTTTCTCAACTGCTAAGAGGGCAGTCTCTGCTTTTTCTCTTATGAAAGGTCTTGGGCAGGTCTAAGTGGTTCTGGTTATTGTTTGCAACACAATTCCTGGGCGAATCGGGAATCTGAAGGGGAGAGAAATTGTTCTTCACCTTTGACTTAACTGCTTGAAACTCCACTCGATGAAATGTAATGAGCAAAGAGAAAAGTCGAACCTGCCTGTTGCAGCTCAAAATGCCAAGCAATGACATGACTGACTGTTTTCAAAAGCTGCATGCCAATATGACTGTATATGATCATAATCTTTCTGGTACATTAAGGAAAGGGGACAGGACATAACAAGATAAACCCCAGAAAAATTATTCAAAAAGAACAAATCATACCTGCTTGACAAGGACATTACAAAGCCCAATATTACCTTATTAGGCAGTAAAGAAAAAACAAACAGCTGGCCAGAAAGAATAAAGACAGCTCATAATTAGAAAATTTACCCTTGCCTTTAGGATGCACTGGTTCTAAATCGCAAATTTTAAGTTGTCAAACACAAAAAATCTAAAATTTTAATGACTTTTTGGCAAATGCCCCTGGTTCTGGTCCCCCTCCAGTGGACAATATCCAAGTTACAGATATAAATATTTATGATATGTTTCCCCAGTACACAATATCTCAACCAAGTAAAGTTCTCTTTAAAAATAGAGAAGATTCTCTTTCCAGTTATGTGGAGAGTTAGATA